TTGAAAGGATTGTAGGATTAGGGAGAGGAAAATGGAGACTTTTTCCTGAGGAGCTTGAAGAGTACTGAAAAGAGGAAAAAGGAAATGAGGGGGTAGGAGGCTGAGCCATGTGCTTTATGGGAAATTTATGGGAAAGAGAACAAATGGCAGAGAAGGGTTTTTGGTCGAGTAGTTTCCTGAGCTGGCCACCAGATTGCACTGTTGACTCTGAACAGTTTGGTTGCTTTTTGGAGCTGCCTTGAGACAAACAGATGAAGGCATTCATGTGATGGATGTTTGTAGCCTAAGGAGATGATCAGACAAGGATGAAACACAGGGTGAGATGTTCAAAATGAGCTCGATAACATTATTTATTGGTAGGTGAATGTGCAAACTCTAAATACAACAGTTATGCGTTGCTTAACAATGGGGATACGTTCTGAGAAATGCATTGTTAAGCCATTTCGTCATTGTGCAAACATCATAGAGTGTACTTACACAAACCTAGATGGTATAGCCTACTACACACCTAGGCTATTTGGTACTAACCTTATGGGACCACCGTCATATATGTGGTCCATTGCTGACCGAGATGTCATTATATAGCGAATGACTGGAGTGGTCTAAACTGAGAGAATTCTAGAGCTATAGGGAGACTTGGTCATGTTTGGAAACTTGAAGCCCTAAGGATTATATTAAAAACTATTCTTATTAAAACCATATGTTTTCTCTTATCCTGTTATTAAAGATACAAGAAAAATGCATTTTATATTTAATTTTAATTTAGAGGCTTTTGCAAATTTTCTTTTTAGGAAATTATGTTTTCTTATAGCTTCCTGTCAAAATAGACCCATATTGCATTTCTTAATTTTTTTCCTAGCACTTGGCCTAGTCTTATCCCTATTAATGACTTTTAGTTTTAACTAGGATGAAACTTTAGTTTTTGTATAGAACAATAATTAGATATTTTATTCTTTATTGATAGCAAAATAGTCAAACTAGTTTGGTAACATCTCTTGTACAGTTTAGTCAGAAAACTTTCAGTTCTTTGAAGAGCTATCTATTATTTAAATTTGCTATACTCTTAACCATTTAGAGTTAATTTCTATAGAAGCAACCCTTTTAAAGCAATAACAGGAAATAAGTGAGGAAAAGGCCTGGATTGGAGTGAAGTTTCTAACAACATTTTGTTCAACTTTATTATGCCATATTTTGATACATACTAAGAGTAAAATATAATAGGGGAGTATTATCCAAAGTGTAGATATTAATAGGTGTTATGCAAAAAATAGTTTCCATGAAAATAATTTTGGAAATGCTGGATTAAACAACATTTGAACATATTTCTTTCCTGTAGAACTTCTTAGAGCCTTTATTTATTTTACGCCAGTGGGTGTTGTGAATCTCCAAGAAGGAAGAGATGTCTGTAACTTTTCCCAAACCCTAGGGACCTGCACTTCACAAAACACACTTTGGGAAACCTCGGAAAGGAAAATTAGTGCTTTCAGTACTAACTGTTGATGTCATTAATGTTATATTCTTTTAGATATTTTGAAGGCTGTTAAAGTCACTATATGGTATAAATTGATATATTTATACCACCAAACTTTATGTTTGGTTTTTGCCTTTGGAGATAAGCAATTATACAAAGCAGTTTATTAATTCAGAAGATAAGAATTTAGAAGACAAATAATTCAGTCAAAAGGGGTTTCATTGTCCTCCCCAGAGCTTCCCTAGGAATATATGCTTAAAAAAGAAACTAAAGAAAAACGATTTTTGTATTTTCTCTCATGAGTGGTTATGGAACACAACATTCCATTGTGAGCTGTGTGGAAACTGAACCGTTCTAGCCAGAGATCACAGACTGGGGCCCACGGGCTAGATCTGGCCTGCAGATAGTTTTATTTAGCCTGTACTGTGATTTTAACATTTGATTTTGATTTTAACATTAATTGCCAACATTTTAACATGTTGAAATTTTGCATAAAAATCTGAATTTTTAGCTACTCTTGAAAAATGGATAAGTTTGACAACGCATCACAAATAACTACTTGCTGGAGCTAAAAAAGTGTCTGCTTCTTTAAAAGGAGTGCTGTACTTCAGTGTGTCACTGCCTGCCTACTAACTATTGTCCTGGTGTCTTGACGCATTTATGCTACCTGTCCGGTTCTGCAGACATTTGGTTTTGTGTAACCCCTGCTGTAAGGACGTGGCGTGGCCGAAGGGCTGGTGGGTGGTGCCTTCCAGATGATAGCCTCTTCCTAGAGTCACCTTTATAAGCAAATGTGGTCAGGTTTCTTCAGGAAGGAGTGTTGGAATTGTGTCAGGCTCGTTTAAGGAAATCTTCACCATTTCTGGTAATGTCTCTATACTTGTCCTCAGGATGTTGAGGCTTTTACTGCCCAGAGTATAGCCTATTTGACAAGATACTGGAAGAGTTGTTTTACACGCACACAGAATAATCTTTGTATGTGTGCAAGTTGTATTGCCGGGCGAAATTTATATTGAATTAAGACAGAGTTCTAATTTCATCCATTCTCAATAATAATTATTAAAGAAACAGAGATTATCAAAAAGCAGTTCTTTTATTTATATTCTACCACTTTCTATAAAATATTTGAGTCAGCTTATAAAGTATGGTATTAAAAAAGTAGAGAAACACGTATGTATAAATCAGGACCAGAAAATATGTTCAGAGTAAGACAGAGAGATAGAATATGGATATCAGGCTCTGAGTTCTGAGAATAAACCTTAGAAGATGGAGAACATGCCTTGTATGAGAGTGGACTTATACTTTAGAGAGAAACCAGAATGTAAATGGAACTTCTCAGTGCAAGCAGTACCATAATCTAACTTTTTGCTCAGCGTGTAGAGTGCTGATGTTGGCCTATGTTGACATTTCTCTGATTCTGCAGTGGTGCAAGCTCTGAGGAGCTGTTTTCTGGTGGCAGCTGGGAAATGTGGGTTTTGTGAATAGAGTTAATCATTACTGTCTCCTGAGTCCTCTTCCTGTATTTTTACGTAATCTATAATGCCAAGAATAGGGTAAGGGAATGGGTTGTGTATGATGTAATGAAGTGAGGGTGGAGGGGAGTGGTGGGGGGAGAAGAAGCAGTAATGAAAGCTCTCAGTGGGAAGGTTTTGAGATCTTCTGCAGAGTTCTTTTGAGCAGCAGTAACCTAAACCTGTTATAGAAGGCTGTGTTTTCTGTACTTCTTGATTAAGTGAAACCAGAACACTAGGGATGCTACACAGGAATTGTTTTCATTTGTGAAACAAAGTGATCTATGATCAAATTAATTATCATAAAGTGATTGGAATTACCTTACCAGGTCCTGAAGCTGCCTTGACTACCTTGTTAGGGATGGGACTAGAAGAAGAGAGGATTCTGTGTAGAAAAAGATACATCCTACTTTTTTTTTTGTTGGTGACATTAGAATCCTTGTTCTTACAGTATTGGGAAATTGTGTTTTTAATTAAAAATTAATAATGTGTCCTCATGAAGGCATTTAAAAGTGGTGTTTTATGGTATTAGTGAATCTGCCTTTGTGGTAAATGTCAAGGGAACGATAATTTAGTCAAACAGACCAAATTTTGGAGGGAAAGAACTAGATATTTTTTCATGCGATAAAGATGGAGCAAATGCCTGAATGTTAACAGAATTGCAAACAGGTCTTAAGTTTTCAGAGTCTAGGGAAGAAATGGAGATTTTATGACTTCTGGCTAACTGGTGAAAGCAACAGTGTCGTAGAAGACAAAAAGGTGGGGATGAATTTTGTAGCATCATAAGGAATGGGTAGACTGTTTGTAACTGAGCAATGCCAGTTTTAGAGTTGATTCAAGGTGTTTTGAAAATGCAATTGGCAGATTTACTACTTTTCAAATGGGAGTCCTCCTGGATACAAGCCAAACCACATAAAAAATTATCTTATGTGTTTCCTTGCATTAAGTATTGCCAGTTGAGCAATAGGGAAAATAAAGAATTTTGTTGATAGTAAGGAAATGAAAATTCAGCTGTTTTGTTTCCTGTCCCAATCAGTGAGAGGAAAGGAGAGGCATGTTCCTTAATGACAGACACTGGTTTATCTGCTTCTACACCTAGCCCACTTCCCAGAGCATGTGGCCAGCTGAGTGACTGGTTGGTTTTCACGTAGTGCTGAAACTCGCCTTTCAGTATGGGAGGTTGTTTTGTGTTTTTGTTTTGTTTTAAACAATTCTTTGATAATTCAGTTATGGATTGAAAGGAATATATTTTCGAGTTAAGATTCTGATGAAATGAAAAACTTATTTTTTATTATATGATAAAACAGTACAAGCTATGGGTAGGAAGTCAGAGTCTCAGTGAAGAGATATTACCAAATATGAAGAAATATGTCATAAAAATTTTTCTACTCTTTGAAACTTGACTTCAATTTCTAGGCTTGCCTTTATTTAACCAGACTTCAGGAAAATCAGATAAATCAAAAGTAGATAACTCTGTGTGCTTCAGTATTTGATATTGCTGATTATTCCGTGCTAACTTGATTAGTGTTAATCTGTGTTAAATCATATTACTGAAAGATAAATGTTTTAATTATAGGGGGATGATAAGAATTTAAAAGCCAGACATATAGATAATTTTTAGAAAATATTCCTAATGTTCCTGTTCCCTTCCTTTAGGTGAGCTCTTAAAAAGCTAAGGGCTGCTCTGTGACAGGTTATAAACAGTCTATCATGTGTTAAAATGGATCTTATTCAAAACCTAGAATCTGTCTCTAAAAGACTGCCTTTTTTTTAAACCACAGATGGTTTCTGAAGGTTTTATGGTATATGTCTAGCGTGTTGAATATAGTACCTTAAGTAGATTCCCCAAGAATTCTATTGAAAGGCATTTAATGCAGATTACATTAACTGTAACTGGATTTTGTTTGGGTTGTGTATGTTGTAAAATGCACAAATCAGTGGGTTTGTCTTTAGTCACCTTATTCTCATTTGGGGTTGATGGAAATGAAGTAAGGACCAAGTGAACGACTTTTTTTCAGGTGCAAATTCGACCGTGGAACCTAAGTGACAGTGACTTTGTAATGGATGGTTCTCAGCCTTTGGACCCCAGAAAAACTATCTTTGTTGGGGGAGTTCCACGACCCCTTCGAGCTGGTGAGTGGAAATAGTAACACCACAACAACAAAACCAACAACAACAAAATCCCCAATGCATTTAGTCTCCAATATTTTCTAGGTTTTCAGTCAGCTATGTGTAATCTCCAAAAAGAAGGCTGTTATGTTAGTTTCACTGAGCTGACTCTTTCAATATTAAATGTTTTCTCCCAAAATTCTCTATTTTCTTATGGTGCAAGAGTGAATTTTGTTAAACTGTTATTTTGAAAGGATGAATTCTATTTAGTGCTTTCCTATTCAACCACAGATTTTAAAAATAATAACAATATATTTGGCAGTGTGCATTCTTATACCAGTTAGCATTGTTATGTATGTCAGAAAAAGAGGTCACCCCGTCAGTAATCTGTTCAGTGCAGCTGTGTGCCGACTCAGTGACCAGCCAAACCAGCCAAACCACTGCTGGAAATTGTGTCACTGGGAATTGAACTGAACTCTTCCCAGGTGAAACAGATTCCTATTTTTTTCTTAGGCATTTTGAAAAATGAGTTATGTATTTGAGCATTTTTATTATGACTTTTTGAAAGCTTCCCTGTTTTTTTTTTTTTCAAGTTGCTTTCCAATGATGAAATAATTGTGCCTGCTGTGATTGGGCAGAATCATAATTGACTGGGGTGTTTGAAGTGATGCTGAGCTGATGACTTCAATATTTAAATCCAAAAACAAAGCTAATCAGTTGTGGATCAGTGTTATTGCCAGTGGAATATAATAAAATTATTTGTAAATAAGAACTACGTTTTTAAAATGCTTAAAATAGTTGAGTAAGATGAAAAAATAAGGTTATCATTGCCACTGTAGTTGTGAGAGTGCAATGTTATCTCTGTGTTATTTGTAAGCAAGTAGACTTAGTTCTACCTAAAAAATTAAAGAAAAAGCAGAGACCATTAAAATCAAGTTGTGAAAACGGAATTACAAAATGTACCTATAGCTATTTGGCTCTATGACTTTGATGACTTCTTAATTCTGAATGTTTGTCAACATTTCTAACATATTTATTCAAATTCAACTCTCCAATGTACTCCTAAAAGGTAACTTTAGACGTATGCAAAGATATATTCATAATTCCATTTTGAAGGACTTCAAAACATATTAATTATGACGGTAGAGTTTATTGTACAGTATTTCAGAAAGTCAAGTATCTTTGGGTCTTATTCTCCTTCCAATAGAAAAGTATGCCGAAAGAAAGCAAGCAAAGCACAGAGATGCCTCCGCTTGATCTGCTGTCAGAGAATAAAGTCTAGGAAGGGCTAACGCAAACGTGAACAGCATTATGAGCTGAGGGCAAATGCAGCCCTTTGTTTCTAAACTGCTTGTGCTTTAAAAGAAAAATGTGGTGGGGTCATTGTGGAATATTCCTGACTTTTTCTAACTGGTGTTATGTTTAGGAATGGAGAGGGAGAAAAATCCCCTTTAATATCTTTTAACTGCGTATGTATTCTACAACAATGGACATTCATTTGCCAGTATTCTAGCTATTCTTTTTTGCAACTAATTACAAGGACAAATTAGTTTTAATATTCTAGCCCCTCTTTTTTTCCCTAGATGAGAATCTGAAAAAAAAACATGCTGAAAGAAAAAGTCCCACAGTTATGAAAATAACAGAACTGGCTTTAACCTCTTATGTCTATTTTTAACTCACAGACACAATCGTGTATAAACTAAATTCACTTTTTAATTTTTCACCCTTTATTCTTCCCATTTAAATGATTTAAAGGATAGGTAAGGGCCACTATATCATTTTCCCTCTATAAATCCTATGAAGATCCATTTTTCACGCTTGGTCTATGATCACACTGGCACTGCAGGACAGAAAACCCAAGATGCTAAATTATATTCTTTCTTTAACATTCTCTACAAGATGCTGCAAGTTCTAGGATTAGACAAGAATTACATTTAGTTACCCAGTCAGAAATGGGATTTTATGTTCCCTACCTAGATAGTATACCTTTTATAAGTCTCGAAGTTCTCTTTTTTTTAAAGCTAAGCTAAAATTTTTGTTTTAAAATTGTTTTGTTTCTGCCGTTATGTGGATAGTAATCTATAGTCACTTAGTCTAATGGAAATATTCCGTTATGCCAACACCTCGTAAGTGTAGCTAGTTTCTAGATGGCTAAACAATCTACGTAGCATCTTAGAATTTTACTATCTATCCAAGACTTTCAGATTGGAGGCCATGTAATCTAGACGAAAAAAGAGTTAACATCTGCAGCTTTTATCCATGTGGGTAGAATTGAATTTCTTTGGAACACACAGAGATTTGTGGACTGGTGTGTACCTTGGAATAGAAGCCTATTTTTAAAGGAATTCATTTTGACTTTGCTAGACAATCTTAAGTTGAATATAGTGCAGTTCACTTGAACAATAAACATTTATTGAGCATACGCTGTTACTGGCACTGAGCAAGTGCGCGTCGTGCCAAACTGAATGAACATCCTCCTGTTGTGTTAAACAGGTCATCATCTACAGAGGGTCAAAGATTTCAGAACAGAAGAAAATGAGAAATGTATTAATAGAATGTTAACTCGGAATTAATTGGATGCTAAATTATGCTCTTTAACATTATGATTCTCAAATTTGGTTTTTAAATACTTCAGGGCATTTTTTATTTTTTCCAGGGGGTATTGTAGTTATGGAATTCTGAAAAAGTCTTAACACTATTTCAGACACTATATACAGAGTGATCCTGCATGAGATATGGGTGACGGTACTCAACAGGCAAGATTTTTAGGTATCCATATTGATTTCACCTTATCCTGAGTCAAAAGAGGTTCTTTGACATGTTACAGTGACTAAAATGCTATCACTCAAGAGTTATTCCTTTGGATCTTGTGAGACTTTTTATCCTTGATATTTCCCCATTGTAAGACAGGGACCATTATCACTGATAAGTTATTCTAAATATAATCTTATCCCACCAAACAGAAATTCACAAACACTTCTAAAGAAAACTGTTGTAAGCAGATGAATTTAGGTTGCTCCTTCTGGTCATTTGACAAGCCTTCCTTTTTATAATTCAGGTTGGAAAAAAATCACAGTCCTAGAAAAATTAACCTGAAAATGGAAAAATAATCAATGGAAAATCTAGATGTGTTTACCCAAAGTTAGATTGCCTGGTTGTTGGTTTCTCTAGGTCAAATAATATACACTTCCACTGTCTCTTGTCCCTCCCTTCTTGTACCACTGCAGTCAGCAACAGTGGCAAGCAAAGGACAGTTTGCTTGAAGTCTCCTAATGTTTCTCAGATCTTGTTTTTCTTCCACTCCCCACCTCTTCCCCCCCCCCCATGCTAGAAAGACTATAGGTAGACTCACCATGCCACCATGTGGCTAAAGGTTACATATTCTCCAGCGAGTCTACCCATTCTTCACAGGGAAAGGGGTAGTTTGTTTGGTTCTCCACCTCTGCACCTGGAAGTGCAATAGCATGTTGCCACTCTTCATTCAAGTAATGTAATCAACACGTCCTCCTGAATCTCAATATGGAAGTAGCCCTGTTGCTCATCCTTATAGCATTAGGACCTCTCCAGAATGCATCTCTTTGCTCTGAGAGGAAATAAGTGCCAGGCTTGGGGGTTATGAGGAGGCCACCAGGAAAAAGTGGAGAATGAAGCATCTGGTCCCTGTACTCTCCTCCAGTTTATAGACATGAGTATTCTCTGACTCTAGTTTCTTGGCTTAGACATCTAATTTAAGGACTGCCTCAGTGATCAAGCTTTGGGATTGATCCACTTCCAGCTTTGATCAGGCTTGAACCTCTCTAATTAGAGGCATGTGAGCTGTTCTTCCTCTTCATGACTTCCTTCTGACAGTTTATTTGACTAGGTCCTGCAGAACAGATCAGTCTTGAGAGATCACTCATCTGAGTTTCTGGAGCCTACCATTTGCTCATCATCTTTGAGTCTCCTGTCTTTCCTAAGTATTGCTTTGATAATTTTTTCCTCTCTTTTTCTCCCATCCATCTGTGATGGATCCTGAAATTTCCTTCTCTGCCATTTTTTCCCTTCAGACTATTGTAGGATGGCTTTTCTGTGGAGGGGGAAAAAAAGACTTTTGAGGAAAACATTCAGTGATAAATGGCATACATCCTAAATTTTTCTGAGAGCATTTATTTCAGACATTCTGTACAAACATTCTGGTAGTTCATACATATTAGGAATCACGTCCTGATCTGTGACTGAGGAAATAGGAGTATTGTAACCATATCCTTTTTTCGTTGTGTGAAGCAGGCAGAAATCATTTGATATCAAGTTTCTCAGCAGTAGAAGCCTTTCTTTCACCAAGTCCCAAGTTCAGTAGGAGTTGTCCCAGATAAACTCCAGATTTGGCATACTGACTTAACTGCATTACCCTTGGGGTTAAGAATTTTCTAATGCTAGTATGTATTTTGTTCTCCTTCCCCCCGAAAAGCAAACCATCACCCACAGCTGATGTCAAACTTTGCTCTGTCAGTGATAGGTTGAGTAATATTAGCATAAAGCCAAAATAAGACTGGGATGAATTGATGCTTATGGAACAAAAACCAGGCCAAATTAATATTAGGCAAAGATTTATGAGTAGAGAGAAAAACAACCCCTGGACAAAACTAAACATTTGAATACCACTCTGTGCTCAGCAGTGTGCTCAGAGCCTCTCATGTATGTTTAATTTGCATGATAACCCTGTGAAGTTGTAAGTGGTAGACTTTTCATTTTAGAGATAATGAAGCAGAGTTCAAAGGGGTTAATTGGCCAAGGCCACAATAAGAAAAAAGCCAAGATTCAAACTCAGATCTCTAGATTTCAAGTTTGGGGCTCTTTGCACAGAAGGAAGCTGCTTTATCAAGCTGAGATCTGAGATGTTGTCTCAGTAACAGTAGTAACAGTCAAGTTGGTACCAGTCCGAGTTAATCAAGATAAACATATCTCTCTGACTTAGTTGATTGTTCATACCATTTATTTAAAAATATTCTTAACTTCCCAACGTCTGATGCAGAGTGGAAGCTTATGAGCACATTTCCTCCCCTTAAGTTGTGTGAACTGCCTTTGTGAATCAACTCAGCAATTGTGGTATACCTGGAAAGTCCACCTTCAAGTTGAATCTTCCTTTCTTTCAGAAGTCCAGACCTCTTCATCATCCTGAGGTGCCTTATGCCTCTTTCCTTTCTACTTTGTTCTTATTTCCAAAGAGAAGAAATGTGGCTTCTACTTTCACAGTTTAGAATCTGGAAAGATGACTGTGTTGGTATTTCCCTCGGGAATCTTCATTCCTGCTCTACCCCATTTGGTTTTCACAGTATCTCAGACTTAGACATTGCTTTATGGCTGGCTTTGAAATCTGATTAAGTGATGGGAACAGGACCCTGAGGTGGGGCGGGATGAGGGAGTCATCATGATTTCCTCTCTAATGAGCTAAAGTCCCTTTCAGATCTCTGAAGAATCAGGAGCAAATCCAACAAATCATAATTGGGGTTCAGATTCAACTTCAGAGGAATAGTCATCACAACCCAAAGGAATTCATGGTATATGCTACACACAACTGCAATATTCTTGTCTCCCTCCCAGTCTGTGGCATAATGAAGCTCATCACAAGAGCCAGTGTATGGGTTAGACTCAGAGTGATGTTTCTGTTACTGTGGAACAGTTGTTCGTGAGATGACTTGAGTTGTCTTAGGAGCACAGAATGTCTTATCCAAAATACAGAATTACCAGACCTGCTAATTTTCCACCACTGTGGGGACCAGACAGACCCTGTGAACACTGTCTGGATGGAAAGGAAAAAATAAAAAGTAGTTTGGAGACTCCTGACTTGCTCATGGATTCTCTTTATGCCTGCTGTCCCCTCCATCTGTCTGAATTCCAGCCTCCACCTGTATGCCCTGCTCTGGTAGGCTTATCTGCCTTAGGTTAAATGTTAAGAATGTGCTCCTGGGAGCTACTCTGTTCCTGCCCTCTACAGAGGAAGGTTTAGAATGGCGATTCACTGTCATCGGCTTAGTAGGTGGTTTGACTACATTTTCCGGATAAGACACATCCTTGATCAAGGGCTAACATTTCATGAGCAGGGTTGAGATAACAAGGTATACATAAACCTGTGAAAGTTTTAGTTGACTTCTGCCAGATCCTTGCTGTCTTTCTTCTGTTTTTCTCTCCTCCTCCCAAGTAGTCAAAATGGTAGCCCTCTTCTTGGCTCAGCTTACCCCTCATCAGAGGAAGGGAATTTATATGGGATTTTCCTATATTAACTGATGAATCTCACTCTAAAGAATCCTTTAAAACATAGTCTTTAAAATGAGTTGTACATTCTGACATCTGCAGATGACTTTGTATCTTCTTCTTCTTTTTTTTTTTTGAGGAAGATTGGCTCTCAGCTAACATTTGTTGCCAATCTTCCTCCTTTTTTTCTTTTTTCTCCCCAAAGCCCCAGTAGATAGTTGTATGTCATAGTTATGCATGCTTCTTGTTGCTCTATATGGGACGCCTCCTCAGCATGGCTTGAGCAGTAGGTATGTCCGCGCCCAGGATCCGAACTTGTGAACCCCGGGCCGCCGAAGCAGAGCGCGCAAACTTAACCGCTAAGCCACTGGGCTGGCCCCCGTGAATTTCTATCTTATATTTCAAAAAAAATTTTCAGATTGGAAATTCATAGGACTTAAGGAAGTCTTGCTCTGTGTTTCTGTTAGTCACCTATATAGTGGATGAATTAAATTAGTCTTTTTTTAATGCTATTTTTACCAAGTAGTTACTTTTCTCAATAATTAGAAACTCTGTTTAGTACTTAAATGACATCCTTCTGGTCTTTGAGCCCAGCATGAGTTTAGCCTGCAGGAAGTGTGCTTTTAGTGAAGACTTGCTGATTGAGTAAAGGACCAAAGACAAACAACAGTTGTTTGACCATTATTTATTTTTCTTCAAGGATGATCACAGTATTAGACCTTCTGTAGTTAAAATACAGATTAGGGTAGAAAGAGAGATGGGAAATCTTCATACTCTTCCTCCAAAAAACTCTTTCTTTAGTCACCTTGGTTTCTTCTAGCTTCTCAGCAAATTGCCCTTCACTTGAGTGAGACTTTATTGGCTCAAATGTCTGCAGGCTTTTTGGTGGCCAAGAAAATGACTGTATATAAGCTTATAACTGGAAACGATTTCTTTATAATTTTCATAAAAGCATAAGTAAGTGAGAGTTTCTGCTTCCTATCAAAAGTACATACCTGCCAGCAACATCAGTCATGACCTACCTAATCTTGGCATGTGAAGATGATTTTCCAGCAGCTAGATTCACAAAGTAATGGAATGTTTATGCTTGTGGAAGGCACCTTCTCTAGCATCCGAAGATCCCTAGGATTTCTTGGGAGATCCCTATGCTGCAGAAGAACCTGTGGTTACAGTAACTTTCCTCCTCAGCCTGAGCTTCAAGCTTACAGCTGGTATACCTTCTTTCTAAATCAGACGTTTTCTTGAATGCTTCCTAAGGGTGGAAGACAAGTGCCATTTAGTTCCTTGCCAGCACAGCATTCTTCTCCTGGCCATTCACCAGGCTGAGAGTGTTTACTCTCTTATTCTGTTCCAGAGGAAGCCAGGTCTTTGGAAAATTAGTGTTTAATTTCCAGGCCCTGTGGTTACTTATTTTACTAAGCCCATTCGACCAATAAGGGAAATTCATTAATGACTGCAATTAATTAATTCTACCTTGAGTTTCTTGGTCTCTGTTACTGGAATAACATTAGCCATGTGAGGAAGTCCTTAAGCCATCAGAGGTTGTTGGGATGAAGTATAAGGACCCACTGAACTCTGATATTCAGGGTACATGCACGAATTCTTATTGCATTGTTTGGATGAATGTGATGCCTGGATCCTGCCCCAAGACTGCAGCCAGGGTCCACTTGGGCTCTAATCAGCAGTGTTCCCTTGGCTGATATGACTCAGTAATTCTGATCGTAATGGGATAATTGGGATAGCTTTCTGCTGTTCTATCTTTAATAGTACTTATTTTTGGACTTAGTTATTGCTAGCTTATTTTCTTACCTTCTAAAATTTACTTGTTGGTTGCAGGTCATTCTTCCTATTAAAAATAGGCACTTGGAAAACAGTGTCAGGCAGTCTAGTATGGGAAGAAATTTTGAAGACCTTAAGTAGAAAGACAGCCTTTCTGTCATGGTGACATAGCTTTTCTTACTGCCTCACTAGCTTCATATTACAGGAGCTAGTAACACTTGGCTTTCATTCTCTTTGTAGAAATCTGGTGGGGTTCTTATACCATTCAGCCCTTCAGCCCTTGTATCTGCTGCAAAGTTCTTCCTCTACCCCACCAGGTTGTGCTGCTTCCCTTCTCCCCAGATACTGATTCCTGTGGAGCTCTACTGTGTGATGGTCTTTGCACACTGGCTGTGGCCCAGGCCATCATTTATCTTCCCTGTCTTCTCCTTTCCAAATACCATATGTAGGTATTTGAGGGAAGCGGCTTCTTGGGTTGTTCCCCTGGGGTAGGGCTAAGTCTTTTGGACTTAAACCATGTAAGTGGCCTGAAAGGAATGGTCATACCTGGAGGAGGTGCCGTCAAGTATCAAGTAAACAATTACCTTCAGGCAATTTGGATCCAGGTAAGTAACCGCTATGTGTCTCTCCATGGTACCTTTATGGTGAGGGTAGTTTTAGAATGTCAGACTTTTGGAATGGTCCAATTTCCAGATTCCTTCTGTACAGGTGGTTTGTAAATATACCACTATAAAGGTATATTTAGGAGAAATGTGGCAAGGAGTGCAAACCAGACCTCTGGATTTATGGCAGGGTGCAGGATGGTATTTTTTTACTGCCTGTGTAGCAGCTTAGCATTTCCTGGCACATTGTAAGTGCTCAATAAATGTTCATTGCTGCTATTATCATTACTAGTATTATTATTATTTAGAATTCAGTGTGAGAGGTTAGTATGGAGATTTCTCAGTTGGGATAGAATATACTCTAAGATTTTTTATTATTTTTTTAATTGTGGAGATTTACTTTAAGGCCGTAAACATATTGCCTCTAGTTAAAATGAGGAGTTAATTTTTTTCTATAGCTTAATCTTAATATAGCAGTGTGACTTTAGTAATTGCTTTCAATTTTAGAGGTCAGTAAATAGGGCTGTTTCTTATTAACTTGTTAGGAACCATGAAATGCTTTGCCTACCCAGGGCCCACTCCAGTGGACCAAGCAGTTAGAAATTAGAACAGGAGGATTATTAATAGAGCATTCCTTTTATACTGTTGCTGAAGTTCTAATTATGTAAATCCATGGGTGTGTATAAATTTGTAATTTTTTTTTCATTTTATTTTTAAGTATCCTATGAGGAGGTCCCCTACTTGAGTTATAAGACTAGTGTGGATACTCTTTATGATACTTAACGTGGATTTTCCTTTTCTTAATTATGTTGCATGATCCTTAAATAGTTCTTCTCCTGGGCAAGAGTCCCTTCTAAACATTTATACAGAATTGGGTTTATTTTCTTGCAGTTGAACTGGCAATGATCATGGACCGTTTGTACGGTGGTGTCTGCTATGCTGGCATTGATACAGACCCAGAGCTGAAGTACCCCAAAGGTGCTGGCCGTGTGGCGTTCTCCAATCAGCAGAGTTACATTGCAGCTATCAGTGCTCGCTTTGTGCAGCTCCAACACAATGACATTGACAAACGGGTAAGCAACTGCTCAGGATATAATTGCTATGGGAGAGAAATGAAGTTTGTTCTATGGGCCGCTGGGGAGAAAAGCACCTTGTGATCATAAGTGAGCAGCTCTACCTTACATGGCATTAGTCCATGAGTCCTTCTAGGTTGCCTGAAAAAGAGACCTCCCTTGGTATTTAAGGCGTTAATGAACCTTCTGCCTCACCCATCTCTAGGGTGATGTTACACTTATGAAAATAACCCTGCAGAATTTAGTATACCAAACCAGTGCTGTTCAAAAGATGATGCCAACAAGTGCAAGCTTGAGAAGGTGATGAAGGCTGAGAAAGTGACTTAACGGAGGTTGAGAGCTGGTGCCTGTTGGACCCATGTGGTGCTCTTAAACCAACAAACTTGGACTAACATTTAATGTTAATGTTCGGGAGTATACATAAAATTTTGAAGTTCTGGTTTCTCTTAAAATTGCAAGATCACACATGGCAGCAATCATTGGAGCCAAATAGCCACTGTGCCCTCCTGTCCCCTCTCTTAACTCCCCGTGGTTCTGCTGCTCGTACCATATATGCATATGCATTACCTGCCTCTGTGCTCATTGATGTTACCTGCCCAGCAACTAGAGACATTCAAATTTGCTACCTCTGATCTAAAGAAGGGGACACGAGGTAGAGTTGTAGGGAGTTGGTGTGCTCAGTTAGGTTTGTGGACAGACATAGGTTTAAATCCCAGCTCTGCCACTGTTTGGAAGCTTGGGGGAATAGAAGGTGGTAGGAGCTAATCTGGGACCTATATTAATAGATTAAAAGAGCAAGAAGGAGAGTAGCATCAAATCTTGAACACCTCCCTATGCAGTTGTACAGTGGCTATTAATCCTTCCAGCAAAGGATGTTCTTGGGGCATACACTAGACTACAATAAATAGAGTAGAGTGAATATGTGCTATTATGAAGTTTCACCTAGACTCTGTTCAGTTGACTTTGACTAATTTTGTGCAGCAGACTTAAGTTTCTTAGGAAGTGAAAGTTTCAATTGGTGATGGATTTTTTATATTCAACAAGATTATATTTTCATTAAGACATATATCTGATCAAATTACAAAAGCCAGTACTTAATCTATTTGCTACATCAGTCGGCTCCTTAAAAGTAAGTAGTGATGGTTTGTTTATTAATTAAAATAAATAAAATAATTCTTTTTCAGAATTTTGAAACACTCTTTGAATTAGTGGAGACTCAGAGGGATGATAAAGGTTTGACTCCAGTCCTAGTTTTCAAGCACCTATAGCATCCTGAGCTTCCCCTTTTGTAACAGTAATCCCCCTACAGACTGCAAGCTCCACAAAGATGGGCATGGTGTCTGTCTCATTCTCTGCTCCATTCCCCGTGCTTGCCCACTGCTTCATGTATAGATACAGTAGTAGATGCTTGATAAACCTTTGTTGAATTGACAAATGGTGCTACTTGGAGGGTTCTCTTATCTACTGCTGCTGGTACCAGTGGACTTGCTTGTGCCTGTACATTTGTGAGTCTGAAACACCAAATTCCATTACATTTAGACTTCTGTTGTACCGTCACTGGTGACCCCAGGCAATAAACTTAACCTGAAGAGTCTTAGGTTCTCATCTGTATGGAAGTAACTTTCTTCGCCCCTTCTGAAGCCAGAACTAGTGACTGACTGTACAGGAGGTAGGTCCTAAAGATGATAAACGAAGGTTCCATTTACCCATGCTTCTATCTTCCCTTTGTCCCCACCCTAACAACCTCCTGGCCTATTCATTAGTAGAGGGAAGTACACTTGCCCCAGGGATTATGGTAATCTTTGAGCCCCTTAGAGAATCACTGTACATCCAGATCCTATTTGTTTTGTTACCTACTCCTCCTCCCACCCCTGCTCTGCTCAGGCCCTCAGTATTTCTTCCCACAAGACTTAGAAGTAGGTAAAACAAGAGAGAATTGGTTTTTCTTTTATTAGCATAATCATAGGCCATGCTATGAAAATGTATTTGGAACATCAAACTTCTCAAGACTGAGGAAAGCCGTTGATTGTTTTCTGCCTGCTATATTTGGGTTAACAACACCTTCCGTATCTTAGAGTACTTCTTGATAAACATTTGGGGTAGTAGCCAGTTGTAGTGGAAAGAGTACGGAATTTGGAGCTAGAACAGATTCCAATACATTTAAAGCTCTGCTGCATCAGTCGCTGGTGACCCCAAGCAAGTTACTTAATGCCAGGAGCCTCAGGTCCTTATCTGGAGCTCCCTCCTGATGGTGGTCTGAAGATTAAATGGGATTTGAGGATTGAACAGCCAGAGCCGTATGGCAGTTGGATAGATGTTTAACTAGCACTTGCTGGTTAACAGTGTTCATCTTGCTACAAATACCCTTAATACCAAAGTCGTTAATATCATGTAGCTTGAATTTTATCGCTTGCTCTCCTGAAGATGTAGTGAAAAGGTACACTGGTTAGCGAAAAGAGCACTGGGCCAGAGTCAGATGGCTGGGTCTAGATGTGGCCCTGTTCTCTGTGAGCTATGTGACTTTGGGCAGGTCACTTAAATTCTGAGCTTCAGTGTATAATGAGGGCAGTGGTAATAGCCTTGTGTATCCCACAAGATTGTTGAGAAGCCCAGAAGAGATAATGAACAAGAAAGCAGTATATACAATGTAACACAGTGTACACGGATATAATAGGGCTGTTGTTGTGGTCACAAGAATGCTACCTCCATCCACATGGTGTCAAAAAGGGACCTGTCAGTTCCTTCGGTGCCCTGGGATGCGAGTCATCTAAGTGGGAGAATTGGAAATCTTTCAAAGTGGCGGAGTCCCTGCTCTCCTGTCTCCAGCTCCATCTTCATGCTCTTTGTTTGCCCTGACCAATATGGAGACCATTTTCTTTATTCTGAGAGATGGAAGCCAGCTTCTTCTTGAGTTGGGCTCTTTTTTCACTGTTCTTCCGGTCTTCTGTGAACACACTCCCTTCCCCCAAATGGTTACTCTGTCCTCTTCTTGTTTTCTTCTTGCTTTGAACATAGCCAACAATACCATTTTGAGCCTCTGTTAACTATACCCTTCATACATGCTTTTTTAGGTTCATTCCTAGTTTTATTTTTATTTATCTTTCTCCTGAAGCTTAAATTTGAACTTTTCAGAAAGCTCCCATTATATATAAGCACATTAATATTTCTTTAGGTAATGCCCTTTTTCTTTCTCAGGGGCTCTGTTCTTGATTATCTACAGAGAATTTCTATTGTTAGGCACACCCTTCTTTCCTGAATAACACCTCCAGGTTTTTAGCAGTACTGTAGTCTCATAGCTAAGGTTTTGAAACTTGTTGTCCTAAAAGTCAAGGGGCAGATGTCCATCTGTGCCCACAGTCCCTTTCCTTGCTTTTGCAAATTCCAAGAGCTACAGTCTTTTTCTCCTTCCTTCTGATGTTAGCCTAGCGTTGCCTTTAAACCGAGACCTTGACTATTTTAAGTAGCATCAACCTTTATTAGCTTTTTGGTCAAAGGAGCCTCCTTTGCTGTCTGCATCATTATAAATGCAGACTTAGTGGAATCAGTAGATTAAAATAAAACAAACTACAGATGGCATTTTAAGGGCCACTTGCTTCCTGTTTTCAGCCTTTACCCCTTTCACTGTTTGCCCCATATGGAGAGTGGGAGAGGGCCACCTGCAGAGCAGCAATGCCTGGAACCGTGGAAGATCTAGGACTGCTTGAGGTGTGTGCTCTCAGGTTGCACGTTTCCTAGGTAAACTCTTGAAGGTACATGAAGAAGAATTTGACTGGTCTATTTCTTTTACCTCTTTTGTATCCAAGTTTTTTCAAAAAAGACATCTTTTTTGAGAGTTTATTTATGTATTTTTTTATTATTATTGTTGTTATTACTGCTCTTTAGCTAAGTTTTTAGATGGAGTGGTTTATTGGGAAAACACAACCTTTATAGACTTGATTTCTTCCCATTATCTTAGAGACTTTTTGGCTTGTTTATGAGTATAAAATAAGATATGTCAATATGCAACATTTATAGGAATAGTTGATCCTGTAGCTTTGGCACTTTCATCTCTGCTGTCATTTAACTCATCCATAATGTCAACATCTTGAAAGAAGAGGTGGTTTTTTTTGTTTTCGTAACAGCTCTATTGAGATATAATTCACATACTATACAAATCACCAGTTTGAAGTATACAATTCAGTAGTTTTTAGTATATTTACATAGTTGTGCAACACATCACCACAGTCAATTTTAGAACATAGGAAGAGGTATTTTAATGTACAGCCTTTTAGTTTGCAGTAAGAGGATCAGTTGAATAATAACCCCAGTGAGGGAGATGGGGAACACTGCATTTATCCTGTATAATTTTGCTTAGCTCATTATAGGGAGAGGATCCTACTTATTTAACCTGTGCTCTTCGAAGTCACAGGAACAAGGCAGCCCAGGCTGTTGGGGAAAACTTCTGACCCTTGTGTTAGCTGTAATTAGGGTCCCCCAAGAATATATGACTTGTTGGAGTGGGCTGATAAATCTACACATCAACAAACTTTTTGCCATAGTATGTCTAGCAATGGGAGGACTAGCAGAGGTGGACAGGGGCTTCTAATGGTAGTTCCTTACAGAGCTATTATGATCTTGACTCTGCCGCCTGTGCGCAGAGGTCTGAATGGGAGTGCTTGGCACATAGGTGGTATGAGTAAATGTGTAGAATAAATTAGGATGATACATGGGAGAGCAAGAACTAGAAGCAACCAACGGAAGGCTGTCAAGGATACTAGGGTGAGTCATTCTCATCTGTCACCTGTACATCAGAGTGGCTTCCCCATTGGTCTCCCCAATTCGACTTTAGCCCATCTCTAATTCATTCTTTACATAAAAACCAGAGTGATCACTTAAAATCATAATTTGAATCATGTCTTTTCCTCCTTTAAACATTTTGATTATGTTCTACTGCCCTTAGGATAAAGGTTAAAGTTCTTAATTAACGTTGCCTACACGACCCCTCATGTACTACAATACTC